CCCCAGTCAGCCAGGACTGTTGGTAAATGTGTCAGCTTGTACAGGGGCAGAGCACACAGATCTATCTGCTTATTTTAATAAAATTCACAGCAACATGGCATGGAAAACTTGGCACCTAATAATATTAACTGGCTTCTTAATTGTTCTGTGTGTACTTACAAAAATAGCTCCTTCTGTGTAGGATCTTCCCAATTAAATTGCTTCTTCCTTAGAAGTTCAAAAAATTCTCCTCTTCTCCTTTAAAAGAAGTTAAAACAAAAGATTTTGCAGTATGCTGTCACAATCCAAACATCCAGCAATGACTTTCCAGCCAAACTTGCCTCTGACTTACTTTATGTATAGTGCGAGGTCTGTGGCAAGAATGGCTTGTTTTATCATTTTCAGTGTGGCCTTGTATTCTTCAATGGAAAGGCTGCTGAGAATCTGATTTCCCTTTATGAAAAAGCAAAACCAGTGTTAGCAGTAAAATGGGCAACAGCACACCAGTTTGCTGAAATGTCCCTTAGATATTGGATGGTTAAGAGTTGCTTGCTGATATCTGATGTCATTCTTTTACCCTGCTTCCTTTTGCAGATTTCTCAATTTAAATATAAAAATTCAAGTCTTCTTGAGTACTGGCAGAAAAATGCACAGCAGCAGTGTCATAATCAACAATTACAAAATGAAACTGCAGGCAGAGCAACATCAAGGCCTTTAAGTCCATTTCATTAATCAAAATTAAATTTGCCACTAGCTGTATCATAGCATTTCTCTTTCCTCTCCCCCCCTCCCTGAAGCAGAGGAACTAGAACAGATTCCAGTACCAGCCTATATTCCTCATGTAAATGAAAATATATTCCTTTTATGAAGCAACATAAGTAATAAACTATTACAGAGAAATATAAGATCAGCAGGCAACTTGCCTCCACTTTTTTTCATATTTTCCTGTCTGAATCGGAATCATTACAACACAAAGGATGCTGGATGTACCATACCTGTGATACAAAATGAACAGTGAAACTATACTGCTTTGAAATGATTGTGCATGCTGAATAACTGGTCTTAGAATTAGTTAATAATATAAAACAAGAAGAATGTAGTTTTATTTGCATATTTACTTAACGTAGATCTGGCTTCCCTTTGGAATGTCAACACTGCCAGTGTTTGGTTTGGTCTCATCACCACTGCTTTGTGTATGCGTAGGCTGGAATGGTTTTTGAAATGAAAGCAAGGACTTGGGTTTGTTTGGTGGTTCATAAGAAGTCATGAAAATGGCAACAAAGCCTCTTGTTTCCTTTGTCCAAAGAAGCAGGTACTCAAAAGGATGTTAGCAAGGTGTCCCTTATCACACAACACTTGGAAAGTTTTGGTGGCACTCCAAAATGTAACTGTGATTTCAAAACTGCTGCATTTGCTTTCTTTACCCAAAAAGGAATAAAGATCACTTAGGAATGTATAAGGGTGGGAATCTATCCAAAAGCTAAAAATAAAAAGTAAAATAGGGAATGGTTTCCTTCAGCATACATGAAAATGTGGCACTCACTGGACTATTCAGGATCATAAGGCATTGATCAAAATGATGATGCTCCATGATGGAGTGGCAATACAGCTGAGCCAGTGGATGTTCGCTTCTGAGGAGTAAAAAGACCCATCAGATGGAGAAATCAAATTAACATACTACTTATCCAGAAAAACCTTCCCTTTTAATGTTATTTTGTCTTCTCATTATCAGTTCACTCCCACCCACCTGTGCTTGTTCTTAACCATTTCCTTTCCCCCTTCTGTGTAACTTGCCAAACAAAATGAATATATTTGGAGGGATCTAGGTGGAGTATAGATAAAAAGACAATGCTATTACTTTGTCAGAGCACTGACAACAACTCTAGTTTTCTGCCTTCTGCTACCTGTAGAGACCAGCTACACGCAAGGAGTGGGTTCGCAATACAAGGTTTTATAAAGAGTGAAAGTTCTAGTATGAAAAGCAATGGCAACATGAAGGGTTCTTTCACAAATGAGATTTAAGTAACAGTTTGGGGTTTTTTAGCATTTTGGACACCTGCCTGGCATATTTAGTCCTCTCAACTACTGACCTTGTAAGTAATAATGTGGACTGATAGCACTGGAAAAATTCCTG